TCTCTCTCTCTCTCTCTCTCTCTCTCAAATAAATAAAAATAAAAAAATAATAATAAAAAAGAAATAATGAGATGAACATTTTACAGTCAACTGTATTTGATCTTGCTAAGGAAGTCTTGCTTTCTCTAAAGGATTGAAAGAATTAGGATTTCCTGTGTCGGGAGACCGTGGAGCAGGAAAAGTTCTCTTCTGGCATCCTGCCTCACTATAAAATACAACTGATGCAAACCCAAGGACAGGGAGTGACTGGTATCAGATCCTGAGCTCCGTGGGATTGTGTGTGCTCCCAGTTCTCCTTTCCATCCTTGACTAATCCAGAAGAGCAGTCCCTTCAGGTGGTTCCCTCCCAGAAGGCAAGGTGGATGAAGCCGCCTGCCGGGTGTGTGCAGCTGCGGGTGTGTGTGGCCACGGGTGTGTGCAGCAGGTGGGGTATGAGGAGGGGGTGTGTGCAGCAGGTGAGTGTGTGGCAGGCAGGTGTGTGCAGTAGCGGGCCTGTGTGGCAGGTGTGTGTGATAGGCAAGTGTGTGCAGCAGCGGGCACGTGCAGCAGCGGATGTGTGCGGCAACAGGCCTGTGCGGCAGGTGTGTGCGACAGGCAAGTGTGTGCAGGAGCGGGTGTGTGCGACAGGCAGGTGTGTGCGGTGGCGGGCGCGTGAGGCAAGCAAGCGTGTGCGGCAGGTGTGTGCAACAGGCAAGTGCGGCAGCGGGCATGTGTGGCAGGAGTGTGCGGCAGGCAAGTGTGGCAGCAGGCGTGTGCGGCAGGTGTGTGTGACAGGCAAGTGTGTGCGGCGGCAGGCGTGTGCGGCAGGTGTATGCGACAGGCAAGTGTGTGCGACAGGCAGGTGTGTGCGACAGGCCAAGTGTGTGACAGGCAAGTGTGTGCGACAGGCAGGTGTGTGCGACAGGCCAAGTGTGTGCGGCAGCGGGCGTGTGCGACAGGCAGGTGTGTGCGGCAGCGGGCGCGTGCGCTCAGCCCCTAGCATCGGAGCATCCGCAAAGCCGAGTTGGGTCTGGCGGGAGCCTCCGACCCGTGGAGGAGTGTGTGAGAGCCGCCAGCCAGGGCCGAGGGCACGCGCGGCCGGGGAGGGAGTGTTCGGCTGCTTCTCTTTCTTTGCTTGGAAAAGGGCCGCGCGAGCCGCGCTTGGAACTGGCTGCTCTCTTAGGGTTGAGGGGATGCGAAGCGGCCAGTAGAGGGCGCCGGAGGACTTGCTCGGGCGTGAAAGGCAGCCGGAGAGCTAGAACTAGCACTCTTCTAAGGAGCTGCGGATCCTCGGGACACACAGATTTTGTGGGTGTGACGCTTGTAGTAAGTGACAGCTCAAGATGTCGTATACATGTGTGCAGACTTTCATAGCACTTATTTTTTATGAGTGGTTTCTAGTACAGCATTTAGGTACTTTAGTAAGTTCAAAATGCGTGATAGCCTTCAAGTCTAGCTGGGGTTAACTTGCCCCACCGAGACATGCTTTCTGGAGTTGTGATCTGCACCTTAAGCTTGCAAAGGCCTTTGTGCTCTTGAGCTTGCTATCGAAAGGCTGGCTGAAAAGGACCTGTCTCTTGCTTCTGTTGGAAATCAGAAAAGCAAGAAAACAAGAAATGGGGGGAGAATTAATTATAATATTGTAAAGGAAAATGTGGTTTTTCCAAAGCTCTTTCAGATCCCTGGGGGACTGAAAGCTGGACTCATGGACATTAAAAGAAAAGGCAGGAAAAATTTATATAAAGGTACAAATGTCTTGGAAAAAAGTCCTTGGCATTTAGCTTTACGTTTTATGTCCTAAGACTCTGTACGTACCAC